GATCACGGGGGGTTGCGTCTGTGCGTGCCCACACCCATAATTCAATGCCCCCCCCGTGCGCCCCCTGCTTATGGCATGCGATGGCAAAAAGGTTCCCGGTGGGCCCGGTAGGCCCGTTTTCTCCCTCCCCAGGCTCCAGAGGCTTTTTTGGAGCCTGGGGAGGGTGAAAATTGCCTCATCCCCCTGGAGGCCGGGAACGGCCCATTTCCTGACTTCTGGTGGGTCCGGAAGGCCCGAAAATCAGCTGGCCGGTGCGCACATGCATTCTGGAGCTGAGCTAGGGCAACGCTTGTGTGCTCACAGATATGGCTCTGCGTGCCACCTATGGCATGCGTGCCATAGGTTCGCCATCACAGGTATAGGATTTCCTGCCTGAGCAGGGGGTTGGACTACCCTGTTTCCCCCATAGTAAGACAACCCCTTATAATAAGCCCAATTGGGCTTTTGAGCACATGGCAATAAGGCCAAGCGTTTATTTCAGGGTTCAAAAAAATATAAGATAGGGTCTTATTTTGGGGGAAACACGGTAGAAGGCTTCCAAGGTCCCTTCCAGCTTCTGTTCTGTTCTGTTCTGTTCTGCTCTGCTCTGCTCTGCTCTGCTCTGCTCCGCTCTGCTCCGCTCCGCTCCGTTCCGTTCCATTCCATTCCATTCTATTCTATTCTTACATGCATACATTTTACATTCTCCATAGAATACTTCAAGATGCTGCTTTCTGCAACTACTCATTTCCCCTAGTGCCTTTGGGATATTGGGAAGTTGGGATTAACTGTAAGGGTCCTTGGTGCTCTCTGATCTTGGGTGTTTTCATTACCAAACTAGGTAACACCATCAGTGCTGGAGGATATTAAATTAACAGGCATTTAGCCAGTTTCCCTTTCTAAAGGGGAAACAAATGAGAAGCAGTTAGGTTTCTGAAAAGATGTGAATTGCTAGTAAGGTAATATAACAGGATCTTGAAAGCCTGTCAAAGCAATTCTCCTGCTTAGGTTATACCCAGCATAATTTACTCTCTCTGTTTCTCATGCTTTCCCCTCCCCTTGCAGTGGGGGTTCTTGTGCAAAGTCCTGTTTCCTCTTCCACTTTCCCAGGGTCTGTTAGCCATGCCCTCACAGCCTGTGACCTATTATTCAGGCTACTACTGAAAGTAAAGTAACTTCTCTGGAAGTTTGGTAAAATTCTGTCCAAAATTAGTTCATCTGATAAAAGGAAAGGGGAGGAGGTAAGAAGACAGACCCAGGGTGAAGCACAATGTGCTGGGTGAATTTTCTCCAGTTTTACAATTGTTCTTTGTGCCACCAGCCTATCAGATGGATTATTTTTGGTGATAGTTTGACTGGTTTTCCAGAAGACCAGTAGCCCCTTGTTTACAAAACAGTTCAAGTGTTAATTACTTCATGGAACACTTTTGCTGTGACATCTTCTTACCCAGGCAACTTGAAACATGGCTGTAGTTTCCATCCCAGGCACCTAAGTCACTGTTTCTCAACATGATGGCTGGAGAATTCTGGGAGTTGAAGATATTGTAGGAAGTTAGCACTCACCCCTCTCCTAGAAGAATGAAATATTTTAGGAAATATTTAAAAAAGCAGAATATTATATTTCCCTGGATGAGAAATGGAGAAACATGTTTTAAAGACAAAGCAGCTTCCTGCCTCCCTCCACCTTTGTCAATGGGCTATTAAGGCCTCAGCCAAGCTCACTCATTTTCTCCCGCCTTTGTCAATGGGCCATCATCTGCAACACAATAGGATCCATCTAGCAACAGAAACTCACCACATGGCAAGACTCAAGCAAGCTTGAGAGACAACCTACAAAGTTAGCTAAGACCCCTAGACCACCTGAGAGTTTGACAACCAATCAGGATACATTTCTTATACAGGAACAAGAAACTCAGAGGTGGGGCCCAACAGAGGGCATAAAACCAAAGCACTCCCAGCATCTCGGGCGTCTTTGTTTTCTACTCAGGAACTCAAGCCATGTGATTCCTGTCCACCATTAAACCATCTTTCCAAGCAGTCTCCATGTTTCCAGTGTCTTTTTCCCCACTTGGAACTGAACCCAGAAGGATATTTCTTCCAACAATATCACAAATCTTAAAGTTGCTCTGCTTGAGAAACACTGATTTAACCATTCTGCTCAGACCTGCCCCTGACTTCAATTGCTGATGGGTTTTTTTCTCTGTCTGCTTGTGATGTTGAGTGAGAAAACAATTGAAGTTTGGGAAGTTTACCCATCATTTCCCTTAAATTGTCCTGCAGTAAAAGTTGAAAACAGAACCATTCACAAGCCTTGTCAGCAAGTAAGATTTGTGCTTGTCAGTTGGAGCAGTGCAGATTATGCTGGGATTCCGTCCCCCCCCCTCTTTTTTTTTTGCTGATTCATGGACTGGAGAAATGCACATTAGCAAGGATTGTGGGACAGAGCCCTGAGTAACTCCTTTCTTAGTGCAGATTCAAGAGGGAAGCTTGAGACATTGAAAAGCCTTTGTCCTGGGCTTATAGGATAGGGTAACAAGGAAATACCATCTTAATTTAGTTATGTATTTACTTCCACAGAGTCCGTTTTGTTGTACTTAAATCCTTGTCCCTATTTGTTGCCTTCAGCTTCTCCGTGACCTGTCATTAGCTGCCCCCCCCCCCCCCCCCCGCGAGATCAAGTCTTAATGGTATTGTAATGAGAGATCTTTGGGAGATAAATGGCTTTATTTGGGAGAGCTGTGCATTTATTTCCTATCACAATAAATATGATCTGACAGTAAACATCTGCTTTCCATTGACTGCTATAAAATTTTGCATTATATAACCTCATTGTCTGAGGAAGACAAATCTTCATCTCTGGGTACGTACTTCACCAAACTCTTTATTATTAATAACAACACAATGCTGTCTTGTGTGATAGCTCTCCCCTATTCCATTGTTTTGATTTGGGCTTGTTTTATTTTTATATTCCATAGCAAAAAGGAGAAACACTGCCCAAAGATATTTGCTTTCCTATATCCAATTATTTCATTTTTCTTTCTGCTTCTTCTAACAAATCCTCAAAGTCTTGTTTGAGATGGCGAGGGAGGTATTTAATGAACAGAAATGAATATTTTATGATAGGAGTAATGTGCACTTTCTTGCTAGAGTAGGGGTAGCAATAAACTGAAATCCACTGGAAACCAAAAATAGGAATGATGAAAGAAAGAGTAAGAGAAAAAGCACATTAAATCTGTCATCCTGATTTGTAGAAACATGATTCTGAAATCACAGTGTCAATAGCATTCATTACCTTGCATCCATTACTAATTACTGGGATTTAAATTAGGATTGCTCTAGGTAATTTATCTGTAGACAGTTGTGTTGTCTACTACATATTCACGTTAAAGAGAAACTGAATGTCCCTGAGAAATTATTTTGAAGTTGTTTCGGTAATAAAACAGTAAAAGAGTAAGATAGTAATACTACTAACTATCATTATTTGCTGGAGAGAAGCATTTTGATGAGGCACTTTTATTAGTGGCAGAGCTACAATTTGTGAAACAGAAAAAATTCACAAACTAGCTATTCCTGCTAGAGTCGAAGAAGTTAATGGCATATATATGTGGGTAGAGGTTGAGGCAGTGTTAACATATCCTGTTCCCTTTTGAAGTATATGGCGGCAGATAGCAGCAGGGTTTTTACTGCAACAGTTTCTTTTAATCTTTGTCCCATTTCCTTTTTTGGTGGCAGCTTTTTTTTTGGTGCATGTGTGTGTCTGTATATGTATAGGTATGTTGGTTTTTTGCATGTATAGAAATCTGATGCATAAAAAAAAATACAATTCCTGATCCTCCGATCAAAGGGTATGCCTTAGAACAGTGTTTCAATTTAGGATAATCACAGATGTCATTAACTGCTGCCATGGAAAGCGGAATAAAATCCAAATGATTAATATCAGTGGGAGATGCTAACAGGGCCCTTTCTGTCTGATAATAAATCTGTTTTGCCTAGGGGTACATTTGCTCTGCGTAGGGAGGGAGCTGAGTGCTGGAATGATTAGAATCTTGCACAGGGGAATAATCTGAGTATATTCAGCAAGTGATGTTTTAGTTATTATGATCATTATCATGTGACAGTTCTGGTCATTTGAATCTTCCATACTGGCACACAGTCAATCATCACCTTAGAGTTGTTATTGTCAACAGGAAAAAAAAAACAAATTCAAAGCAAGTTATACTGAATACTGAAAAATATGGCTCGTCTTTCAAAGCAGTGGTGGGTTGCTACCGGTTTGCCCCGGATCGGGCGAACCGGTACCAGCGGCGGCGGGAGACTCCTCCCACCCACCTGGATGCACCTGTCGTGTGTGTGTGACTGCGCCTACACATGTGACCGAACCAGTAGCGTCCAAAATTGAAACCCACTACCTTTTCAAGGCCTTCAGAAGAGATTCTCTATGGCTAGACCTGAAGTAGGCGTCTTAATATTATTTAAATGTGAATAACCTAGAGATTTGTTTGGGACTCTATACATTTTGAGATATATAATTCCTTCAGATATTATGTTTTTTCCTGCTTTTTGATTACAGGTTGATATCTTCCCGTGTTTCCCCATACTCAGCTGCACACGTTTTCTCTCTCTCTCTCTCTCTCCCTCTCTCCCTCCCTCCCTCTCTCTCTCATAGATCAAATTCCTAGTGTTAACCATTTCAGGCTTAGTATAGATAGCAGGAAACTAGATGTAAAATTCAAAAGTTTCCATATTTTTGCTAAGAAAATAATATGAATAAATCCATGTGATCCTCCGGAGTGACTTTGATAAAGAGAAATAATTTTTTAAAAATTATTCACTGAGATTTTGAGAGTATTTACTATTAATTGCATTCAGACATTTTTCTTTTTAAACTTACCTCAATCACTACTGTTGCAATTTTTCTGTGACTGAGGGGGGTGGGGGAAACCTTGATTGAGTTATTTTTATAAATGAATGGTAATTCACATTTTCTTTTTAACATTTTGTTATTGTGTTCTTCATTCTAGATAGCCAGCTTGGTGTCTGCGGACCAATTTCAGTTGTACAAACAGTTGAAGTTTGAAAGAGGTAATTTTTTTTACATTAATATGTAGGGGTTCAGATTGCCTTGTTTAATTCACAAAGTAGCAAAGAAGATGTAGGAAAAGTTACTTGACTGGTTGTATAATCTTATTAATGTCTACTCAAAAATAAGTCTCATTTAGTTCAATGACACTTAACCTTGGATAAATATATAGAATTGTAGCCTAAACTAATATATATATTTAGAGAGAGAGAGAGAGAGAGAGAGAGAGAGAGAGAGAGAGAGAGAGATTAATATAAATTAATAATATATTGCTAGCAGAGAAAATCAGAGAAAAGGGGGGAGAAAAGAGAGAAAAGTCAGTTGCTCCTTCGAACTCAGAATCTCTGAACTTAACATAGTCTAGATCTCAGTCCTAAAACCAAAGAATCTATAGCTTTACTGCTATAGATTTACAATGATAAAAAATTTACAATTCTTAATGATCCAATGGGACTCATTCTGCGCAAAGCTTTTTAGTGCACACAGTCTGCAGGTCAGATTAAGGAAGAAGGTTGCCACTTATCTCCTGATCAGAAATCGCAAGATTTCTCTGTTGCAAAGGGGCTGATGACAGCAGGGTTATGCAAAGAGATGTGTAGACTCTTCATAGGAAGAGTCTACAGGAGGAGCTCATGCAGTGGTGGGATTCAGCCGCTTCAGGTTGGTTCAGGTAAACCGGTAGTTAAATTGCTGGCTGGCTCTGCCCCTTCCCAGCCCACCCGTACTAGGAGTCCCCACGCACTCTTTTTTGGCTCCCAGGTAGGTTCAGGGAGGCCTCCTTGGCACAAAATAGGACACAGGGTGGGGTGGGGTACGGCATGCCCCCCTGGCCCGTTTTCGCTCCCAGGAGGCTTCAGGGTGGCCTCCTAGGCCCAAAATGGGGTGTGGGGGCGTGGCCCGTTTTTGTTCCCAGGGGGGTTCAGGAGGCCGAGTGCTGCCTGTCACACCCCTGGCCACGCCCACCATGGCCACTCCCACCCAGCTGGTCATTAGGGCAGAGAACTGGTTGTTAAATTATTTCAATCCCACCACTCGGCTCATGCCATGTGCATGCATACACACACTTTCTACTTACATGTGTGTGGGTTTTATAAGGGTCCCACAAGGAAAAGTTTAACCCTTGCTGTCCATTCTTCATGGTTTTGCATGCTCTTTCCTTGCCCAGTGTCCATTGAAGTTGGGGGGCAATACATTTAAACAAATTAGTAATAATAAGCCATTTGAAAGATTGGGTGCCATACGAAAAGGACTTGGGTGACACTTAGAAAATCTGCACCTTGACAAACTTTTCATCTGTCAATCACAAAAGGCCATGCTGCTCGGATCCATGCATGTACTACACCATCCATGTTTTAATGATCCATGTTCATTAAAACATCCTAGGTTCTCAGGAAGATGAAGGCCAACAGCAGCTAAAGAACTGGCAGCAGTGACTTCGTGTTGTTGTATTTATAATAATAACTTTTTACTGTCAATGTTTAAAAAGCAGAGAATTGCATTCCTTCCTTCCTTTCTTACATAACATAGTCAAATTGGGCTAGAAATAGAATTTCCTTTTGCAGGTTTTACCAAGCTAGAATACCTGCCATGATGCTCTAGTAGTTCTTCCTCGTGTGAAATGAATTATATGATTTTTTTTTGAGAATGCTTGCAGGATTCAGACCACAGCTGGGTAAAACGTCTGATGTAATGAAAGAATGATTCCTTTTGCCTATTGATTCATTCCCTGTAGGAACGAATTATTTTTCAGAAGCAACCTCACATTTCCTAAAATATTGTACAGTAAGGAAACTCATGCTAGGGAAATCAGTCATTTTTTTTTTCATCTTACACTGAGGGTATATTCATAGTTGTCAAACTGGCAGCCCGTGGGCTCGATGCGTCACACGCAGACCACACCCACCCAGGCTCCACAAAGGCAAAAAATGCCACGATATGTCACGATACATTACGTGACGCGATCGAGTTTGACACCCGTGGTTTAGATGAAGACAAGATAGACAAGATGGATAAGAAATTTCCTCTTTTCTAAAACATGCTGGTAGATATACACCATATCATACCCCCTGTTTATAACTTTGGTTTCTCTTCTGATTGTATAAATCTTTCACCTTTTTTAAAACTTATGTTTTGATTTGTAACGTCTCAGAAGTGCATTTGGATCCACTGAGGACCTGGTGTCCCTCTGCTAATTGTCAGACTGTGTGCCAAATTGAACCAAGCAACGCTGGATTACCAGTGCCTATAAAATGTCAGACGTGTTACTTGACATTCTGTTCATCATGCAAAGAGCCTTGGCATGTGGAGGGATCATGCTCGGAAAGCCATTCAATTGGGATTGCAAGTGAGCAAGGGTAAGTGAAGAATCTGTCTAGCTCTTGCGAAATCTTTATATCATTCAAATTGCTATAAATACTATATTTCTTTAGCAAGAAATTACATTTCTGACACTGACTAAATAATGTAATTAATTAATTAATTGTTGCTAGCTGAAGGGAAGACATTCTGGGCTTTCATTGAGGCACCTCAAGTATTTGATGTGCTGCTTCAGCATTCTTGATTCTGGAAGGTCAGTTCCATGGGTACCATCAACTAGGCTGGCTTTTTGTCAGCCCAAATGGCAGATTTGGGGATCAGGTTTAGCTAGGCAATATGGCAATTTCTTGGTGGGCAAGTCCAATGGAAGCTGTTGCCTGGGTATAACTTCAGCAGGGTAAATACAGGGAATTAGTTAAGGGCTGTTTTGTACTTTATGAGGAAGCATGGATGAGAAATAGATGCACCTTCCCCCCCCCCCCCAAAAGGGGGTGAAAATTTAGGAGCGTCTTATTCACCAAATGTAGCCCCGCCACCCACTGGCCCCCACCCTTTGGCCTCTGCCTTGCAGCAGTTACCTCCTTGCAAGCAAACAGGAAGAAAAAACAGCTCCTTTCAGCTTCAGCACAGCCTAATTAGCACAAGTTGATTGGATCGGCCTTCTGACTCTCAGCTGATTTGCTCTCAGCTGTTTTACACAGGGCTCTGCTGCTTGCTGCAAAGAGGTAAATTGCTGGAGCAGATTTTTTTTCTCTTGTGCTAATCAAGCTATGCTGAAAACAAAAATGAAAGTAAAGCAGGCTGTTTGCTGCAAGGAGGCAAAAATTGCTCAGAGGCAGAGGGAGATTTCTTTTTCTTCTTTTCCTCACCAAAAAAGGTAGGTGCGTCTTATACTCTGAAAAATATGGTACTTTCATATCGTTAAAACAAAATACCAAAGCAGAAATAAGATGAACTTACCTGCTCATTTTCCCAGTGGAGGAAATATTTGATGCCAACATTGTCCAAACAAAATAAAGGAGGGGGGGGGGGACGGCGTCTGTTATTTTTGCATGTGTTTGCAAAGGTTGCAGTGAATAATTGTTGCATAAGGTAAGTGCTTTTCTCCAGATGAAGCACATTTACATGGGTTGATATTCTTCTAGGCAACTGTGCTTCAGTTCAGTCTGAATGATTAGGGAAATAGCCTAGGTACTGTTAAGACTGTTTCAGATTATTTTCCTCCCTTTCTTTCCTAGAACACTTATTAAAAACAACTCAGAAGCTCCAATTAAACAGTGTCCAGTTTGTCGGATCTATATTGAACGGAACGAAGGCTGCGCTCAAATGATGTGCAAAAATTGCAAGCACACATTTTGCTGGTACTGCCTACAAAATTTGGATGTAAGTAGTCTCTGGCAAAAAGGTTTTTCCTCTATAGTTGTTTAACACTTCGAGCTAGGAAGACTGATGCTTAACACAATTAACTTTCCATGATTGCTTCTCATGGTTTTCCTTCTGTTTTCTTTCAAGTTCAGCATCCAAATCTTATGGCAGCAGATCTCAGACCTATAACACTTGATGTAGTTAAATGGAGTTTTGCAAATGATACATCTTCCTTTTTGTTCAGCTTTACTAGAACTTGCTCCTCATTTACCAGTGATTCTTTTTCCTGCTTTATAAAGCTGCATGCTTTATAAAGCCTAACTTTATAAAACATGCAGTAAGTAATTGCTTCATAGAAGGTTAATTGGTGTCAAAGTGTTGGTGACAGTGTTTTTTGTGAAATTCCAAGTATATAAAATAGAACTGGACGAAGCCTAAAGCCTCATGTTGCCACTTTGATATCCAAGAAGGTTGAACTTATACATGATTGACGGCATACTATTTTGCCTTTCAGAATGACATCTTCTTAAGGCATTATGACAAAGGTCCCTGTCGAAATAAACTGGGCCATTCACGAGCCTCAGTTATGTGGAACAGAACACAGGTATGCCAATAACATGGATTTGTGTTTATTATAAGTCAGTTTGGTCTCGTGGTTTTAAAGCACCAGGCTGGAAATCGGGAGACTATGAGTTCTAGTCCCACCTTAGGCACGAAAACTGGGTGGTTGACTTTGGGCCAGTCATTCTCTCTCTCTCTTAGCTCAACTCACCTCACAAGATTGTGGGGAAAATAGGAGGAGGAAGGAGTAATAGTTATGTTTACTACCTCGAGTTATTTAAAATAATTAAATTGAAGAATAATAAAAGGCAGGATAAAAATAATCTAAAACTAAGCTTCAATGGAGTAGATATAGATGTAGGGTTTTCATAGATACAGGGTTGTCCTTCTTATTTCTTCTTTTCAATTTTTAGGTTGTTGGCATCCTAGTGGGCCTGGGAATCGTTGCTTTGATCACATCTCCATTACTGCTCTTAGCTTCGCCGTGCATCATTTGTTGTGTCTGCAAATCCTGCCAAAGCAAGAAAAAGAAACATGGCCCACCACCAACATAAAATGTTCTGCCTATTTTGGATGTGAATGTCTTATCGTGCTTGTCAGGGAGAAGACTAACGGTTGACGTCTTACACTGTGCTTTACCAACCGATTCTCCTTGGTTTTGCCAACTTCTGTAAAAAGTGCCTACTGGTTCACAGGTTGCCACTTTATTTGCAAGCTGCAGTTCAGCAGGGGCGGGGATAGGGTGGGGCTATTTGTTGTGATCTGAGTTAATTCTGTTTTTTTTTTCATTTTTTTTAACGGAGCCGGACTTGTAAGGTATTTTAAGGTGCTTCAAAATGACTGCTTTGTTGAAATTGGCAGATGAAACTGCAGCCGTTCACCAGATTCTGAATGACTATTGATTTTCAGAGCACCTTGATACTGTATCTCCTGAAGACGTCGTACAGTTGAGTAAGAAAATAAAATGGGTAATTCAGCACTTTTAAAAGAAAATATTGGTTACTTTAAATTTTAGATTTCTAGTGCAGATTTAGTGGCAATTTAAAAAAAAACCCAACTCTTTAAGTTATTGTACAACTTTTTTTAAAAAAAAATCTACAGCTGAAAAGGGGGAAAACTATAACACTCAAGTATTGAACATCATTGATAAACCATCTTGCTAATTTACACTTTTTTCAAAGGCAAGTCAGGTCAAATAATTTATTTAAAATAAGTTCTACCTTGCTACAGCACCAAAATCAATAATATGAGTCTGGCCTTATATTGTAAGCATAAAATGCTGAGCAGATCACCCTATTTGTATCATTTATATGGCCTATAAATTAATTATTTCCAAGCAGTAGATAAATCCTGAGTGCTAGTTGAGAAACTAGCTTTGGTCCAGAAGTCGGAAGTGTAGCATAACTGACCTGAATATGACATAACTGGGCCTTTATTTATTTTTCTCTAATTTTCATTATTACTGTCTTATTCCTCATGGTGGAAGTTTAGCAGAGGAGTGAAAATGATATTGAGACATATGGACTTTGGTCATCAGTGGGAACAACTGAACTTGCCAAAAGGTTTGCCTTTGTAGACATACTGTTCAGTAAAGAATAGTAAATACTTAAAAAACCAAGAACATGCTCCTAATACAGGGGTGAAATGCTCCCAGTTCAGACCAGATCGCCCGATCTGGTAGCGATCGTGGCGGGTGGTTCAGAGAAAATCCCTGTGCCCCCCCATGCCCAGCTGAGCCGTGCGATCATCAGAGGCTTTTTTTTTTACTTTTAAAAGCATTTTTTCAGCTGAAGAAGTTGTAGAAAAAATGCTTTTAAAAGTAAAAAAAAAAGCCTCTGATGATCACATGGCTCAGCTGGGATCATCAGAGGCTTTTAAAAGCATTTTTTCTACAATCTCTTCGGGCGAAGAGGCTGTAGAAAAAAAAATGCCTTTAAAAGCCTCTGACAATCCCAGCTGAGTTGCCTGATCATCAGAGGCTTTTAAAAGCATTTTTTTCTGCAACCTCTTCGCCCGAAGAGGTTGTAGAAAAAATGCTTTTAAAAGTAAAAAAAAAAAAGTTGGCCACGCCCACCCAGTCACATTACCTCCCCCCCCCCGCCACCAAGCCACGCCCATAGAACTGGTAGTAACAAATTTTAGATTTCACCCCTGGCCTAATACACATTGTTGCAACAAATAATATCCATTTTGTTGAGCTAGGGAGAGACTGTGAAAACAACACAATGTTCTCTGAACAAATGTTTGCAAGTTGTGGACTGTATATCTACAACAAAACTGTGAAGATAACATACAGCTCAAAACAAGGTACATGTGCAAGCATAGTTAATCCTCAGATCCTCAGCTAGTGTGAAATAAAAAAAAAAGAGCCTTGAAAATATTGGAAAAGAACAAAGGATGATGGAGAATATACAGCTCTGCAATCTTGGTTACAAGAAAAGAATTCTCTATTCTGATCATGCATTCATCCATACCACCCCATTCTATAGTAAAAGGTGGCATTACATAAATAAGGCATTCAATTGTTTCTTGAACAATTAAATTTATGTATTCTATTGTATGTAGTTGAATACATCAAAGAAAGCCATATATGTTTCATAATGCTCAAAATGTTGTCTAATCTCATAAAATTGTCTGGACTTTTACAAAAAAAATCTTTTAATAAGTTTAAATTATTGGATCAATTACTGTAGAAATAAATTGCCATATCATTAAGGAATGTTTTAGTTAACATAATACCTTTGTGTTTATATTATCCCTCATATTGCTTATGAAACAGCAATCTTCTATCTACAGTATCTAGCATGATGGATGGGGAATTCTGGGAGTTGAAATCCACATATCTTAAGGTTGCTGAAGTTGAGAACCACTGACCTAGAACTATCTGACTTGTATGCATCTAATTTTCTGATATCTAGTTTGATAGTATAAGCCTTAGGAACCTTGGCTAGTGTAAAATTTTAATAAATAATAATTAGAACTTGAATCTTTAGTGTCTGAATGAAAAGGGGGAGGACGTAGGAGAAACCACAAAGAAGGACCAGCTCTCCTACTGTAAATTTCTCTACCCAACCCCAAATCTTTCCAGGTCCCCAGTTCTTTTTCAAATTAAAATTGATGAACTTTGTAGGAAATCACTATGACGAAATGTTTACCAGAAAACGGTAGCCGATCAGATTAAGGATGTGTATTTTTTTTATTATTTTTTCTTTGTGTAAAGCTTGTTAACATGAATAAATAAAACTTATTTTGACAAAAAGCTGTTTATCCACTACAGGAAAGGGTTTTTTAATGTTTTAAAGCAGGGGTGCTATTTAGCAGGTTCTGACAGGTTCTGGAGAACCGGTAGTGGGAATTTTGAGTAGTTCGGAGAACCAGCAAATACCACCTCTGGCTGGCCTCAGAGTGTGGCGGGAATGGAGATTTTGCAGTATCCTTCCCCTGGAGTGGGGTGGGAATGGAGATTTTGCAGTATCCTTCCCCTGCCACGCCCACCAAGCCACGCCCACAGAACCAGTAGTAAAAAAAATTGAATTCCACCACTTTTTAAAGTCTATCACTATTTTCAATAGACATGTCAATAATTTTTCTATACATTCAACATTAAGTGGAAAAGAATAGGAAATAATGGCCCAAAGCGTGGGATTTCATTTCTACTGTGCAATCTCTCAGGTGGATGGCAAATGGATATTATTATAGAAAATGTATTTTAGGTTTGGAAAAAAAAAATAGACATCTTATAAACATTCGCAGACGTTATCATGCTAATCAAGGATTTAAAAAAGGAGATCATTGTCTGTTGATGTTTGTTTAAACTGGTAGAATTTTATTACTCTGTTAGTGTAACTGAAGGTGCAAGGCTATAATTTTTTAAAAAAAGATTCATTAGAAACTGTGCAGGAAGAAAGTGCAACGTTCTAAGTTATTTAATGGTTCAGCATTAGGAGATTTTAAAAATAGAAATATACATGAGTCTGTATTTTCTTTCTTTCCCCTACTTTTAAAGTCAGAGCATGCAATATGGGCAAAATCAAAAATTCAGCAAAGCTTGTCTTCAGCAAGCTGCTTTTAAAAGAGACTGTAAATACTTAGCTTTGTTATTCCAAGACATTTCAGTATGGTCACATATAGGTATCACCAAGAGAGGAATCCAGAAAAGAGGGAAAGTAACATTTGTCTTGTGGCTTTATACCAGGGGTGAAATCCAGCAGGTTCTGACAGGTTCTGGAGAACCGGTAGCGGAAATTTTGAGCAGTTCGGAGAAGCGGTAGCGGAAAATTTGAGTAGTTCAGAGAACCGGCAAATACCACCCCTGGCTGGTCCCAGAATGGGGTGGGAATGGAGATTTTGCAGTATCCTTCTGCTGCCACTCCCACCAAGCCATGCCCACCAAGCCACGCCCACAGAACCAGTAGTAAAAAAATTTGTATTTCACTACTGCTTTATACCTCAATACTTTAAAAGCATTGGGACCCAACTCCATATTCCAACTCTAGTCAAGACAATCAGCAAGAGGAACCTATTTATGATTTCTTGACTGAGTAATTCATGTCAATTGGTAGAATGGAAGATTGCTCATTGATATGCTTTAGGTACAGATAGTCCTTGACTTAAAACCATTTGTTAGCAACCATTCAAGCTTAGAGCAGCATTGAAAAAAGTTACTTATGATCAGTCCTTGCAACTCTTGCAACATGCTATGGTCATGTGATCACAATTTGGGTGCTTGGCAATTGGCATATTTTTATAATGGTTGCAGCATCCTGGGGGGGGGAGTGTCACATGATTGCCATTTACAACCTTCCCAACTGGCTTCCCACAAGCAATGTCAATGATGGAACCCAGATCCACTTAACTGTATGATTGCCTTAACAACGGCAGTGATTGACTTAACATCAGATGCAAAAATGGTTGTACATTTGGGTGTGACTCCCTTAAGAACCACTTTGTGTAGCAACAGAAATTCTGGTCTTCATTGTGGTTGTAAGTTGAGGGCTACCTTTTATCAACTTTTATCTTTTATATATATATATAAAAGAGCCAGGAAACTACAAACCCATCAGCCTGACCTCAATACCAGAGAAGATTTTGGAACAGGTAATCAAGCAACTAATCAGTGAATACCTAGAAGCAAACCAAGTAATAACCAAAAGCCAATATGGGTTTGTCAAAAACAGATCATGCCAGACTAATCTTATTGCATTCTTTGACAAAGTAACAAAACTAGTGGACCAGAGGAATGCTGTCGATATAATTTACTTGGACTTCAGTAAGGCATTTAACAAAGTAGACCATAACTTACTACTTGATAAAATGGAAAAATGTGCATTAGACAGCATCACTACCAGATGGATTCATAACTGAGCAACCAACCACACTCAATGTGTAGTCCTCAATGGAACTGCATCTATATGGAGGGAGGTATGTAGTGGGGTAGCCCAGGGCTCTGTTTTAGGCCCAGTACTCTTCAACATATTCATCAATGATTTGGCTGAGGGGATAGATGGGGAACTCATCAAATTTGCAGACGACACCAAGCTAGCAGGAATAGCCAATACTCCGGAAGATAGGCTTAAGATACAGAAAGATCTTAACAGACTTGAACATTGGGCACTATCTAACAAAATGAAATTCAACGGTGAAAAAAGCAAGGTTCTACATTTAGGCAAGAAAAACAAAATGCACAGGTACAGTATATGTGGTACTTCGCTCAATAGTGGTGACTGTAAGAGGGATCTTGGAGTTCTAGTGGACAATCACTTAAATATGAGCCAGCAGTGTGCTGCAGCTGCCAATAAAGCCAACACAGTTCTAGGCTGCATTATCAGTGGGATAGAATCAAGATCATGTGAAGTGTTAATACCACTTTATCATGCCTTGGTAAGGCCACACTTTGAATACTGCATCCAATTTTGGTCACCACGATGTAAAAGAATTGTTGAGACTCTAGAAAGAGTGCAGAGAAGAGCAACAAAGATGATTGGGGGACTCAAGGATAAAACATATGAAGAACGGTTGCTGGAACTGGATATGTCTAGTCTTATGAAAAGAAGGACTAGGGGTGACATGATAGCAGTGTTCCGATATCTCAAGGGTTGCCACAAAGAAGAGGGAGTCAAACTATTCTCCAAAGCACCTGAGGGTAGAACCGGTCGCAGTTTGTGTTGGCAGGGGGCAGAGGTCGACCTCGAGGCCTCTCATTTGTGGAGTGCCGCAGGGATCGGTCCTCTTGCCCCTTCTGTTCAACATTTATGTGAAGCCGCTGGGCGAGATCATCTGTGGCTTTGGGGTGAGATACCACCAGTACGCTGATGACACCCAGCTGTACATCTCCACCCCAGGCCATCCCAATGATGCCCTTGAAGTGATGTCCCAGTGCCTGGAGGCTGTCCGGATCTGGATGGGGAGGAACAGGCTCAGGCTCAACCCTTCCAAGACTGAGTGGCTGTGGCTCCCGGCATCCCGATATAGTCAGTTGACTCCATCACTGACTATTGGGGGCGAGTCTTTGGCCCCCACTGAAAGGGCTCGCAATCTGGGAGTCCTCCTGGATAGGCAGCTGTCTTTGGAGGAACATCTGACGGCTGTTACCAGGGGGACCTTTTATCAGGTTCGCCTGATTCGCCAGTTGCGGCCCTTTCTTGATCGGGATTCCTTGTGCACAGTCACTCACGCCCTTGTCACCTCTCGCCTTGACTACTGCAACGCTCTCTACATGGGGCTCCCCTTGAAGAGCACCCGGAGGCTCCAGCTGGTCCAGAATGCAGCAGCACGGGTAG